CCCGTTCGGATTTCTTTTATCCAGTTTTCGTTTTATCTTCCGCTGTGCTAGTTTTGTTGTTTAATCTGCATGTGTTAAGGCTTTTATATAGGTCTTGTTTGGGGGTGTTACAGAAAGGGTGAGAAATCTTTAATGTGTCTCTACTTCAATGAATCCACGTCCTCGTTTCCAAATTATGCACATGCATTACAATTGAGAAACAATTGAGGGACTAAAATGGTGATTTTTCCATTAAAATATTATGTACATTCAGTTAACATATTATCTATTTCCAATTTATATACAAGTACATAACACCTGAAAGTAAATAATATATTAACTATAAGTACGTAATCTCAATATCGTTTTGCAATAGAATAACAATGTAAGATGGACTTTGGTCCTCCATGGTCTAATTTGCGTCAACCTGACCAAACTTTGCCTATATTAATGAAGCTATTAAACATCAAATTTATAAATTAATTATATTAGTAAGTTTGTTTTAGACACGTAAAGTAATATGTTATCAATTTTATGTGTATTTAGTTATAAATATTAGATTGAGAAGTCCAAGCTAATGAGTTGATCCACTACCGATACCTATGTTGAGGGCAAATTTTAGTGTGGACTGTGGTCTATGTAGCAGCGTGGAGCATGAATTATGTATCGTTTTAATTACATTTTAGTTTCATTTGACAATATTGCTATATTTTTTAGTTTCATTTTCCTTCCACACTAGTTTCATTATAACAATACTAAAAATCATTCTAATTCTACTATAGTTTCATTTGATAATACACATTATTGCTTGAGCTCTATGTTTTTGTTTCATTTTTCACACACACTAGTTTAATTATAGTAATGTTGAAGTATTATTTTAATTGCACTTCAGGTCATTTTACAATATATGCTATTGTATGACTCTGAATTTTACTTTCATTTTACAGGCACACTAATTTCATTATAGTAATACTAAAGTATCATTTTTATTTTATTTTTTGAAAACAAGTAACATTTTAATTATACTATAGTTTCATTTGATAATAATGTGCTCTATTTTTCAATTTCATTTTCTACACACACTAGTTTCATTATAGTAATACTAAAGTATTATTTTAATTCTACTATTGTTTCATTCGACGATCATAGTCCACACAACGATGTATAGACTGGTCCACTGTATAACAACTTATGTTGAGGTATAGAGAATTCACTATTAATATTGTTGATCCAAATATTTTTACAATACTTAAATCCATCTAGCAAACCTTAAAAATTGCAAAAACAGCCACAGCAACCATCTTTAATTGTTATTTTGGCTCTATGTGGGCCGATCATCATATTGCTATTAATTGGCAGCTTTATAGTCTTTCTTTGCTCTAGCTTTGCATCATCTACTCTGCATCTTCATAAAACTCTTCTTCACCGGGAGTCATCTTCAAGAGGGGGAAGCTGTCATGAATCAATGAAAACATATAAGGATATATATGGTGAAACTAAGGGTGTGCTTGGTTGATGGGTTTTGCCATAGGAATAAGTATGAAAGTGATTGTTATTGTTTGGTTAATAGGTTTTTAAAACACCACGGGTTTCGAATTTCCCATGAATTGTAAAACCCATACCCAAATAAAATAAGGGTTTCATTTCCTTATTCATTCTCAAGCACTACTATTAGTAACCATTCTCATTCCACCCTATTACCAAACATGTTAAATACTTTCACCAAAACCCATTACTATTACCAATTATTTGATACCCATTCCGATTTCGATTCTTGTGTGCGAACCAAACACACCCTAAATAAAGTTTGGAGAAAAATTAAAGGAGAGTAAAATAAAAAGCAATTGAGAAAGAGAAATGGAGAGAGACCTCTCTTGTGTCTTTCTCAATGACAACCATATTCTCATTTCCATAGATTTTTTTTTTTTTTTGAAACCAAAAGAACTTATATTTCATAATCAAGAAACATAGCATTTACAAGAAAAGATACGATTAGACAAAGAACCAGATTTCCAAGTTAATAAATTAGCAACCTGGTTCGCTGAACCATATTCTCATTTCCATAGTTCTAAACTTCTCATTGTTTAGATGGATGTTGTATTAGCATCTTCAATTCCTTAGTCTCGAACTCATTGTTTTCCCGATATGTTCTTAGTGTGTGAAGCATGATTGACTAATTGTTACTAATGATAAATATTGTAATACTTACAACTCAAATTGTGATACTTACAAAATGTAATTCTAATGTAAATATTGTAATATTTATATGTGAAGTATTACTTACGAGAGAAATTGTTATACATATTGTAGAAAGTTTAATACCAATTTGAATTAAAATTTAACCGTTACATATGATAGATATAGTATTACTTATATGTAAAATATAATTTTGATACTATTTAGGATAAAATTGATTGTTATTGATGGTAAATATTGTAATACTTATAACTAAAATTCTAAAATTGTGATACTTACAAAGTCTGCCTTCACTGAGCATCTCACTCGGTTGTCTACAACTCGGCCCATATCACATATAAGGATCCGTGAGATGATTTCACACCAGTTTTTGCCCGGCATCATTAATTAAAAAGAAAGTTAATTACCCAATTAGAAAATGTGATGTAAGGACGAGAAGATTGTAAGAGAAAATTTTGGAGGGATGGATAGCTTACTCTGGTTATAAATATTAGATGAAGAAGAGCAAGCTAATGCAGCTACTTTGAAGTTAAAGAGAATTCATCACTATTAATATTGTTGATGAGATAGATCAAAATATTTTTACAATTCTTAAATTCATCTAGCAAGTAGCAAGCCTTAAATCCAACAGATTATATTGTTCATTCCAAGAAGCAGATACAAGACAGTAATATAGTAATCTATACCCTATTCAAATTTGCAGCTGAAGAATCTGTGAACCAGAAACCATTTCAAACACCAAAAACAGGCACAACTAACAACCATCTGCTCTTCCCACACCCTTCTTTTATTGCAATTAATTAGCAGCTTTAGAGTCTTTCTTTGCTATAGCTTTGCATCATCTTCAAGAGAGCAGGCTGTCATGAATCAATGAAAACAAATTAGGATGTGAAGAAACTAAATGCAGTTGGAATCGGAGAAAAATTAAAGGACAGTGAAATAAAAAGCAATTGAGAAAAAGAAATGGAGAGACCTTTATTAGTCTTCCTCAATGACAACCATATTCTGGTTTCCATAGTCATGCTGTTCAGCCTGAATTTGCTTGGCTGACATCACTATAGAAGGAAGACACAACGCTAATTGGATTAAGTTCAATGTTGGAATTTCTGCAAAGCTATTCGGGATCTCTCTCAATCCTGAGCATCTTCTAAGGAATAGGCTCTCAAGTTTTGGAAAGTTATCAGCACCTAACTTCCCAATGATCGAGATTACCATACATAAGTTTCAAACAAATTAAGTGGCAGAATTTCACATTCTCTGGTACTTCCCACTTTCCGCCAAAGTAAAAATACCATAACTCGAGCACCTCAAGCCTTGGTAACTTGCTCAAAACATTAATTGCCTTCCAATCAGATTTCAGAGAACTAAACTTCAGCTTCCTAATGTTTTTCAAGAGAAGAATATTGTTAATGATATGAGCCATCATATTCGGAATTTCACGGGCCGACTCATCCAAAAAAGATAAACTCTTGAGCTGCTGTAAACAGACAATGTTAATGCAATCATTGGGGTTGCCTATAACAATACCTACCTTCTTTAGGTATGGAACTTTTGTTAAGGACTCTTGGTCACATTGACTAGCCTGCAAACGAGAAATGACCTGCAAGTTTTGATGAACGGATTTGGGTAAAGCATACACACCAAATGTTTGAATATATTGTAGTTGTGGACACTTCAAATGGTTCAAGTCTGTATATTCACACGCACTATATGATTGAAGATTCCAAGTGTTGGAGAATAATGACTTATGACGATGACGTAACTCAGCTATCTCTAGGTATCTCAAATGGATATGAACAGTCAGAATTGGCGAACGGATTGCAGTAACATAGAGTACCCTCAATAGGCTGAAAAATTCCAAAGTTATTGAATCTTGCCGCCCCGAAAAGTAAAAGATGGACCGGCAATGTTTTGACAGAAAATATAACGCAGAGATGTCAAAATCTTCTAATAACACCCCGTGGATTCTTATCCAACGGACACCTTTCTGAGTGATATTGGAACCACTTTCGTCGGTAACATGCAAAAGACTCTGGTTCTGACCTTCTCTTACACAAAAGGCATGCAACAAATCATGTACTCTAAACTCCTTAATTTTTTTTCCACAACTACTTCTTTTGCTTACAAGAATTAAGTTTCTATCCATAAGTTCATTTATGTACCTTTGAGCCACCGCTTTAAAACTCTCATTCTTGAATGCCTTAACAAGTCCTTCCGCAGCCCATAACCTTGCAAGCTTGTGAGCATTGATCTCATAATCTTCGGGAAAAACTCCTAAATATAAAAAACAAGCTTTCAAATTATGGGGCAAGTGACTATAACTCAATGACAGGATTCTCCAACATTCTTCATCATCTAGAGTTGATGTTGAAGAACTTATTATTAGAGCATTAGCAGTGTTCTTCCACTCATCTAGTGTATTGAGTTTTGAAAATAAACCTGCTACCACAACAATTGCCAAAGGTAGTCCTTTACATTTCTCAACAATTGGTCTCCCTATTGTCTCAAATTCAACACCATGAGACTTGCATGCCTTTTTACGAAATAAATCCCAACTTTCACTTTGATCTAAGAACTGCATTTGATGCGAAAAGTAACCAATACAAATAGCTAGGTCTGCAACGCGAGTAGTCAACAATACTCGACTCCCATTTGTATCATCGGGAAAGCAAGATTTAACATCATTCCATGACTCTGTGCTCCATACATCATCCATCACTACCAAGTACCTTTGACCCTTCAAACTTTGGTAGAGTTGTAATGCTAGGTCCTCATCACTGCTGTTGTTTACATTGTCTTTAGAAACAAGATCTAAAAGCATTTGCCTCTTATTGTGATGTTGTGATACAACAACCCATAGTCGTCTGTCAAAGTGGGAGACAGTTGATGGATTTTCATAAACTCGTCTAGCTAACGTTGTCTTGCTGATTCCTCCCATACCTTGAATTGAGACAACTTCTCGTTGTTTAGATGGATGTTGTATTAGCATCTTCCTTATAATCTCGAACTCATTGTTTTTCCCGACCATTATGTCCCCAGTCTGTGAAGCATGATTGGAGGAACCGGAACCGTCCATCTTGACAAGTTCATCATCAAGTGTAGTCTCCCTTCCTTGCGCAGCTATGTCATGCTTGTACTCCATCATGACTTTCTCCAGCTCTTCTTTAATGGCATCAATGTCTCCTATTGCTTGTTGCAATACATGACTAAGTCTATGAGAGTGCTGGGTTCTTTTGGCTTCAGCGTCGTCCCCTTGACCCATTTCCTGGTCAGCTTCTTTAAAGAGGTCTACCAAATAGAGATAGGGATAATCTTCATAGAGATCTACCACATGGAGTTCAATTTCATCTTCTACTCTGAAAGCTACATCTCTGAGCTTTGTTTCTAACTCTTTAATTGCTTCAACACCATCTATTCTGCTCTCATCGAACAGTTCTATCAGAAAACCAAGTTTTGCATGGAGAGATTGGATGAGGTCTTTGTTAAAAGGGATGAGTTCCATTTGTTGTAGGAATGGACGAGGGTGAGGTTGCAAGAACTCAAGCTCTAATGTTCTGATAAGAGAATTTACAGCTACACAGGCCATTCTTTTCTCTCTCTATCTCTGTTGGTGTAGGTGTGAAGATTGTCAGAAGCAAGCTAAGAGCATCCACATTAGTTGGGGAGAATTGGGGGATAATGTAAGAGTGATTAGGAGAGAGAATGTGAGAAGGGGAGAAAAAAAAAACAAAAAAATCAAAAAAAAGAAATAAAAAAAATAAAAAAAATAAAAAAAAAATAAACAGAATGGTCAGGCGCGCCGAACGGCGCGCCTGACGCGCAGCCTGGCGCGTGCACTGCACGCGCCAGGCTGTGGACTTGCTGTGCGCCTGACGCGCACAGCAAGTCAGATATCTTTCTCTTTTTTTTTTCTTGGTTTTCGCAATATTTCTACCATTGCAGATGAATTCTCCTTGAATTAATTCTCCCCTACATTAGCTTTGCTCCCCACTCAGTAGAATGCATTCTGAAATCTCCCCTTATTATCCACAAGTGTGGATGCTCTAAGATGAGTGGAATTGGGTAATGCCAATGATCTGATCAGTGCAATAATTCCTTGCCGACAACTTTTTTTTAACCTTAAGCTCTCTAGCTCTTATTGATGCAAAAATTCAAAAGTAGGCATGGCCTACTGCGTATTTTATTTTATTTTTTCCACCAATCAATCAAATCGTGAAAGACCGTTGACTTCACTAAATTTCGATTGATCTGAATTATCTTCTAAATTTTCAAATTTCATGGTTTGCGAAAAATATTTGAAGATGAATGAAATTGAAACTCTATGAAAAATAAATTACATAAAAAATTAATTACATTGTTTAGTTGGTAGAAAAGAAATTACTAAGAATATTAAAACCATTGTTTGGTTGTGATGAATTATCTCAGGTCATGCATGAGAATCGGAGCAAAGTATACTAGAGTCTAAGCAGAGAAGAAAGGGAATTGATTAACATTAAAAAAGGAAGTTCAACATGAGCTTATATACAGAGATAAGAAAGAAGCACTTATAACTTATAATTGCCAAAAGTGTCTACCGCCAAAGGCGAAGGCGTCTACCAAACGCGTCTACCAAAGGCGTCTACCAAACGCGTCTACCAAACGCGTCTACCAAAGGCGGCTACCAAAGACGTCTACCTAACGCGTCTTCTTGTCTCCATTCTGTTGCTGCACTGCACCATTGCACTATATACTTCATCAGGTTGGATTTGAAATTGTAATGAATAATGAGTATAAAGATCAATATATCTCTCCACAATAATAAAAATAAGTGTAATTAAGAAAAATCAATGATGACAAAATTTTCATACTAGTTTTTCATGGAAAACAAAATACCGAAAATATTTGGTTGGATGAAAAACTTATTTGTAAGGAAAAAGACTTCCCTAAATTTGAATTAGTGTTTTAAAATGGTAAGTTTCAGCTAGCCTAGCTCATTATAATATATAGTAGCCCAGACAATTCAAGCGTAATAATTATTACATGGACCATGGTCCACATAGCTATGTGGACCATAAATAAAAAGTACATTTTAATATACTAAAAGTATATTATTTGTGTACATAAAGTGCATTTTTTGAAAGCACATTATTTAAGTACTAAAAATACATTATTTTATACTATCAAATAATGTACCTTCAGTACACAAATAATGTACTTTTAATATATTAAAAATGTATTTGATATTTATAGTCCACACAGCTATATGGACTATGGTCCACACAATAATTTGTCATTCAAGTGTTATGTCAACCTGACCCCTTGGCCTATATTAATTTTATTTTAGGTATAAGGATAATGGTCCTTACCAAAATTTCCCCTTATATTTTGTCTATGATGTGCCTTATAATCATTGAGTGCTCATTAATTGAGTGGGGATCAGTGAAGCGAGTCAAATTTAGAATAATAGTTTGTTACTTATGATAGAAATCATAATATCTATTACAAAAATTGTTGGATCTTAGCACTGCACAAACCATTCTCTCTCTCTCTCTCTTCTCTCTCTCTGTGTTAGTGTAGGTGTGAAGATTAGCATAAGCAAGATAAGTGGAAATTGGTAATATATTGTTATTCTACTATTTTAGCTTTTTTTTTTTGGGAGCTCTCACACGCTCAAAGTGTGAAATTGGAGTTTTCTGTGACTCGAATACGTTTAGGAGCCAGAAACATGCTCGAAAGGTTTCTTATCCGTTACGATCCTATCTAGGGTTGTAACAGTGTTGAATAAGCGGATAAAGTGGGTCTAATTATTAGAAGATGGGCATTGACTTTTACGTGGCGTTTGGTTGGAGGTAAGAAATTACGTGGGAAAGGAATTGCAATTACATGAGAGATGAATTACTAGGAATAAATAAAGTGGGAATTTAAATTCCAGTGTTTGGTTTACAAGAATAAAATTACTGGGAATTTCAATTATAATGTTTGGTATACATGTGAATTGAAAGGGAATAAGTAGTATAAAGTCCAAAATGCTCATTGTTGTTGTCAGACATCAATTTTAGGTTAAAAAGAGAAGAGATAATTTTGTCTCGTCATTATCTTTTTTTCTTTCTAAAATCTATGGAATTAAAATCCCAAGGGGCATGATATTTTAATTCTATGAAAATTAGAGAATTGCAATTCCTTTCAACCAAACTAAAGAATTTAGTGACTTTTAGAATTAGGTGAGAATTAAGTGGGAATAAAATTTAAATTCCTCCAACCAAACGTTTTTTTTTTTATTTTTTATTTTTTATTTTCTTTTAGTTTTGTGGGTGTTGAATAAGCCGATAAAGTGGCATGGGTCTAATTAATTAGTAGATGGCAGCATTGTGGTGTTGAATAAGTCTAATTAGAAGATGGCAAGTAGGTCTAATTAATTAGAAGGTGGCAAGTGGGTCTAATTAATTAGAAGATGTCAGCATTGTGTTGTTGAATAAGTCTAATTAGAAGATGTCAACATTGTGGTGCTGAATAAGTCTAATTAGAAGATGTCAACATTGTGGTGTTGAATAAGTCTAATTAGAAGATGGCAGCATTGACTTTTAGTTTTGTAGGTGTTTAATAAGTAGTTAAAAGCAAATTTGTTTCGTATGAGGAAATTATATTTGATGGTATTTTGTAAACTGCCGCAATCTTTGATCACCTAGCCCAGGACTCGACTTTCGCCTCATCATCAATTCGAACTCGTGACCTCGGCTGGTTGCCATATCATACTTAAAACTAATTGGTGATAAGTAGGTGAACATTTAACCATTTAACCAAATCCCTCCCTGGCAGGCCATATCGCCACGTATCGAATCGAACAGGAGTTGAACTCGGTCAACCCGGCCGACGCCCAACAATAAGCTACATCTCTGAGTTTTGTTTCCAAGTCTTTAATTGCTTCAACACCATCCATTCTGAACTTGTCGAACAGTTGTATGAGAAAACCAAGCTTTGCGTGGAGAGATTGGATGAGATCTTTGTTAGAAGGGATGGCTTTCATTTGTTGTAGGAATGGACGAGGGTGAGGTTGCAAGAACTCAAGCTCTAATGTTTCTTATAAGAGAATTAACAGCTACACAAGCCATTCTTTTCTCTCGATCTCTATTTCTCTCTCTACTCTGTTGGTGTTGCTACTTTTATTTTAAAATGTATTTATGATTCTTTTTAAATTGGGAAACAGCCCTGAAATATTTTTTTAAGTTTTCGTAAATTTATGCGAGCAAACAGAGAGATGTAAAATTGTTAATCCTTGAAAGCTTAGCTTCCGTATAGTACATCATATTTAATGCAAATATATATCATGGAAAATTACATTTGATAGTATTTTGTAGACTGGCACTTTGTGTTAATGATTAATCAGAGTATGAGAAACCTAAAATTTATATAATTTTAAAATTAGTGGATCGGAGCAACTTACAAGAAAATAAAGAAACGAAAAGCAATATAAATCGCCGCTATGTAAAAGACAGACAAAAGTATTAGGAGAACCTAATATTCATTCTTAGATAGCTGCCATCAAAATCAAAGGAACAAATTAAAGAAAACCAAGAAAGAGATCCTGAAACCTATGCATGAGCAGTTGAGCACAGTCCACAGAATTATTTTGGCACCGATGCACCCTAAGCTATACAAAAATTGTTTCGGTTTGGTTTTAGCACCTACACTTTTCTTTATAGCTACACAAGCCATTCTTTTCTCTCTCTCTCTCTGTTGGTGTAGGTGTGAAGATTAGCAGAAGCAAGATGAGTAGTGGAATTGGGCAATGCCACTGATCTGATCCTTGCCGGCAGTTTTTTTTTTAACCTTTAGCTTTCAAGCTCTAATTAATTATTGGTGCAATAATTCAAAAGTTTGCCGGCATACTGCTTATTTTATTATATTTTATTTTATTTTTTTCCCCATCATATCAATAAAATAGCGGAAGACCATTGACGTGACTAAAGTTCAATTGATCTGAATTAGTTTCATCTTGCAAAATGAAAATATCAATGCGATAATATCTTTTAAATTTACAAATTTCATACAGCCCGTTTGGTTCGTCAAATATATTTGAAGATGATTGAAATTGAAATTACATAGAAAATAAATTACTGGAAAAACTAATTACATTGTTTGGTTGGTAAAAATGAAATTACTAAAAATATTAATTCCAATGATTGGTTGGATTTGAAATTGTAAGGAATAAGAGAAAATTATAATTTATGCCCCTCACAAATATACCCATTATCAATATCACAATTGAATTATTAGTGGTGTAAATGTTGCTCTTCAATTTTTAAAACGTGACATTCATTGCCTCTCTCATAATAAAAAGAAGGAAAAACATTGTTGTAGGCGGAAGGAGAACAAACCAAGAAAGAAAAATGGTGGAAAAAAACACGGTCTTCGAATAGGGAAGACGGTGGGTTACGACATTTACACCACTAATAATTTAGGAGAGGGGCAATATATGTCACGTTTTTAAAATTAAGGGGCTACATTTACACTGCTAATAATTCAGGAGTGACATTGATAATTGACATATTCGTGAGGGGCATAAATTACAATTTTCCCTAAAGAATAATGAGTATAAAGTCATAAAGATCATTATATCCCTCCACAATAATAAAAA